CCCGTTCCGTCAACATGCTGCCAATGGCTATACAAGGGACCTTTTTTCTTGTCCAGTCCATCTTGCCCTTGCAACAAGACGAAAAAAGGCTGGAAAAACCTGAGGAACTTCATTGGCCAGATTAAAAACAGATTCTTATCAATGAGCCAGTGTCCTACACACCGAGTCAGAACCCACCGAGCCAGCGGTTTACCCACAGAGGTGGGTCTTTACCCACTGAGACATTGTCTTACCAACTGAGCTGGTGGCTTAACCCCTGAGCCGATGGCTTATCCACAGAGCTGGCACCTCATGTACTGAGCCACCTTGGTTTTCGTTCTGCTCTTGTATTGCACATAAAAATGCCTTCCTGGCTAGGCACAGATTTGACCTTTAATTGATGAATGCCATTATTTAAAGTTAACCTAGATATCATGTCTTAGTAAATCGTTTTTCATTCCAGGTTTCTGCTTACACTAAACCTGATCAAGCGATAGAATCTGTCAGTTTTGATACGTTGCTTAAAGAAGCGGAGGTGTTGAAGAAAGCTGCCGAGGATGCAGGAGAAAACGTTACAGCTACTACAGCTGAGGGAACTGATTCAGAAACTGAGACCAGTGACACAGATGTTGAAATGAAGGAAGAAGTAACAGATTCACAGGCTAAGAAGAAATATCCTAGAAAACCACATTACCGTCATGCTGATAGATTTATTTTAAAAGCTGCCCAGGCACGACTAGACGAATTCATTAAAGTTAAAATGCTAAAAGATCTACTGTTTGGACCTGCTTTCCCTCATCATATCACACGCCAGATTAACGGCTTACTGTATAACCTCCCCGTTCCAGTTCGCTTTATAAATCATTCCACTAGAAATCAGATGTACACCATCGTAACGCAAAGTATGTCACCGATCAAAATTGTCGCATTTCTCAAAGCCAACGGTGGACAGTCTGGTCGCTTTCGTTTAGTCGACAAATCAGAACTTCCGACACATAAGGACATTTTACCAGAACTTAAAAGTAGGGAAATTTTAACTAAGATCAAATCCAAATTTTAGTAGAAATTTCAATTTTGATTGGCTAAGCACTAAAACCAATCAAATTGTTGGCTTTTTTTTGCTAATAAATATAAGTGCTAGTCTAATGTCTTGTCTCAATTACATCTTCAACAGTATGGTTTTGTTTCTAATTTAAAATCCAAATATTTGTCTAAAGTCTTTACCAGTTGTGTGGTTGAGTGGTCTGATGTATGCTTTAGATCATAAGGTCTGTCATTGATTCAAGTACCATGGTTTGTTTTGAAGGTACTTCCAACCTTATTTGTCTTATTTTCGCCAGTCATGTTTGGCCGTTTTGACTGACTTGCAGTGAAATTGACCAACTGGAGAATACTAGTAGATCATAAGGTCTGTCTAAAGTTTAGACAAATATTTGGATTTTAAACTAGATTTATAAGGGGCATTTTAAAGGGGCATTGGCGCCATTGGGTAAGATTAGATAAGAGCTGACAGTTCTCGCTATAATAGTTCAACAATAAATAATAGAAACAGAAAATGCTGAAATTTCAGTCAGATTGCTTTGCTCTGAACCGAGATATAGGTGATTCAGTTTTAGGCTACAGAGCCAATTTTCTGAAAGGTAACCTTTTCTGTGGTTCAAGTATCTGATGTGAGAATCTGGGCCCTGTTTCTCGAAATCTTAACAGTGGGAATGCAGTCGACCCTACTCTTGGAAACGAAGCTAAGCCTCTTCACTAAATGACAGACCTTATTATCCAACACGAATGCATTATCATTTGACTCCACCCCCTCCCCTGCAGTGACACATGAATGTTGTGACCAATAACCACTTTCCTGTCTTAAGGCCTTTGAAAACAGTATTCCTCATTATTAATTTGTCCCAACTAATCATGGTTCATGAATGCGTGTTCTCGATATGTTGACACTTCTACGATGGTGGGTGACTACGAGTCATGAGTGAAATAATCTTATTTCGTTTAATCTGTTATACTAATATAGAGAAAATACAATTTACATTTTATGGATATAACTTTTATGGATATAACTGTTACAACAAATAACACATCTACACAAATTTTTAAGTTGACCTCATTTCAATCAAAGTAAATACATGTACCCGTAAGTATTGTTTATATTCGCGTTACGTTTGGTAGTGGAACAGTGACACTGACATATTGTACATCGTTGACTTCAGGGTTAGGCTTGTTGTCTACCAAAGTTAGGTTAACATCTTCCACTACACTGCAAAGTCAGTAACATCATCAAGCTAACCTTTGCTAAAAGGTTAATGTTAATAACATCCACCAATTAGTCTATACACTAAACACAAGACCTGCAGCATTCAATCTCTGTGATCTGTAAATAATTAATAAAAAAACATATGAACTTACTTCAAATTTACACACTATAACTTATTACATAAACTTTATGTAGATAAGGAAAGTGAATTTTGAGATGCACTCCAATGACAAGTAGTTGATTTACATAAAAATTTACAAAAATAAGAACTGTTAATGAAAATAATAAACTGATTTACCTCAAGATAGATAATTGGAAATATTTTCTATACTTTTCTTCTGAAAAATGAAAGGGCGTAGTTTTATTATAAAACAAGGAACATGTACTACAAAAACATATAATTATTAATGTACCCCCTCGCCAACACGTACATTTGGAATTCATTTAATATAGTTAACTAAAAAAAATGTTAAAATCACAATTAATTATGATACCACAATTACAGGCTGGTAAAATCAACACAAAGTTCATACATTAGATTATAATAACCAGAATCGACTTTAAACTGATGTCTCTCACATATCAATGCCATAACTCTTGCAGTAATCATCAGATCTCGCTGAAAATCAATAGGCGTCTTGTCTCATGACCTTAAACACTGTGTATAAATTTAAAGTCAATTGGATTTTAAATTTAGCCTCTAGAGTGTTCACAAGATTTTTCAAAGTGATCAAGGGCCATAACTCTGGTAGTAATTATCGGATATCGCTGAAAATCATTAGGCTTCTTCGTCTCATGACCTTACACACTGTGTAACAATTTGGAGTCCATTGGATATTAACTTTAGCCTCTAGAGCGTTCACAAGATTTATCAAAGTGATCAAGGGCTATAACTCTGGCAGTAAATATCAGATATTAACTTTAGTCTCTAGAGCGTTCACAAGAAATTGTGGACGACGGACGTATAAAAATAAAAACAAAGTTTAAAAGAATCAACTTAATTAACAAAAACAATAATTAAACAATCAAAAACTAAACAGATAAATCAAATTCAAACGGAACAAATAAAGCAAAGAAAAGGAAAAAAGCAGTTCATTACCATTCTACATTAAAAAAATAAAGGAAATCAACTTGCGAAAAAAACTTTCATAAAATAAGAGTAAAGTAACACTAATGTTAATACTTTTTTAACGACACTACTTGGGCTCCCGGCACCCCTACACCCAAGCCTATCCACACCACAACAAAGGTCCATTTCATTGATTTTTTTCAATTTAATGGTCAAAGCCATCAAAAAAAAAAACCAACCCATTTAAAACACTGAAAAAATAATTTCAAATTCTACCTTTATAATCAAGAAATATAAACTTTAAGTATGTAATATGTAATTCAGATCTAATTTTCCATCAAAATCAATGTAAATGGACCTTTGTTGACCAGATAAGCAAATTACATTGATACTAACTTCAGACTTTACAATTTTGTATAGAATTCGAACATTAAATGATCATGCGACCGAACCTCCAGCATGAGGTCCCTAACAATATCTATTTAAGAATAACAGAAACCATAAATTAAAGGCGTTTTTAGGACCTGAGCTTCGACCATATTAGATAGTAAAAGCTTAATTGATTCTATTAGTTAAGTATAATATTTGAAATTAGATCTATAATATATAATTATGATTTTAATAAATCTTAGCTGACAATAACGTGCGGATTTCATTCAGTTTTAAAATTGGTACTATATAGAGCCTAGCCAGTATAGCGATTCTGAAGGGAAAATACCGCTTATGACTCATGACGTCACTCAAATATGACAGAAAAGCACTTATTTTGGTGCCATCCCACGCATTGACTGGTATATAGAGCGTTTTGATCATTTGAAACTTTGAGTTTGACCTGAAACCCTATTAATTAATAAATAGGTAATATTAATAAAACAATACTACTAGGCCTATTTATTAGTATTTAGAATATATATCATATGTAGGCCTACATACACTGTCATACAGTGCCTTTATTTACAAGTTACATCTGATTTATTAACTGATTATCAGACTTATCCATTTGTGTGTATCTCATTGATCATTCTCAGGCTCAAGTTATACTCCTGACAAGTCCACGAGTCACGATACTGTGACCCCCTGTTGGTTGCACTTACTTGTAGTTAAACTGTCACTACTACAACTTAAGGGGTATAAATAAAATGCTTGAAATGAAGTCGGACTAGGTAGATATCTAGGCCTAATTATAATGTAGACTTGCTTTCATATCGATTACCCGACGCCAAGACCACTTCTACTGTACTAGCACTAATTTCAATGTAGGCTACTTAGTAGTCTTACCCCAAAAGTTAGAAAAGACTTCGTCAGCAAAAAAAATTATTTACAATCGGTACATCTATGATTAAGATTTGATTTATGCAGTTTTAGTCAAATACTAGCCTACTATAAAGTAACAAACTTCATTTACATTACCCAGGTCAGAAAATCTCCTCAGAAAATAAAAGACAACTGTTTAGTGTTTGTAGCCCAATAAATATAAGAAGCTGACGCCGTTAAAAACAGTGTTAGCCTAAACATCAGAATATTGCGCCAAAAGCAAACCAGTTAAAAATATAATTTGCGGGTCACGGAAAGATAATTCTGTTTGGAAACATGGTTTGGTGTAGAGGAGTAACCGAAGTTGGCCGAGTGAAATCTGCAGCCGGTTGCCGAGTGAAAAATAGAAAGTAACTCATTGAAGATCCAGTATTGTGCGGCGTGGTTTTCAAATTCAAGATGGAGGACTTTTCGTGTGAAAGGAAAGGGGAAATAACTCATCTTACTAAAAGGATGCAGACCGCACAATATTCTCTAGATGACTATATAATGTTATAAAACTGTTTGTGGTTAGATTAAGATTTCAGCGTTCCGCTCTTCATTATTTGTAACATAAATGCTTATTTCAATGCTACAAATTTTATTAGGTTTGTGCTTCTGTAATTCTTTTCTTATTATATTTGCAATTCTCTACTGGCTAGGGCGTGTCTTTCAATGTCACTCTTGACACTTCACGTCACGTTGTGAATTTTCAACTTACTCTGTTTATGGTTACATGAATAATAATGCCAGAGTTTGTTTCTACATTTTTATGTCAAGGACTGGATACATAGAATACAAGCATAGATTCCCAATCAACTTGCAGAGCGAGTTTGCTAATAGAAACCTCTACGTCTCTCTCCCAAGAATGACGCCGCATAGATCTGGCGTTTTCTATGCCTCGTTTTATGAAATCAATTATGTGATTGGTCACGCATGCCCAATGACGTAAAGAATTGGTCAAATATGGAATGGATATGCCCCATACCTTGCATTCCAGCAGGGATTACCTAATTTGGTCAACAAACACATTCCATTACTAGTAAAATAATAGACATGAAGATGGCATATGACAAATGCGTTTATTAAAGGGGCATTATGGGAGATTAGATAAAGAGCTGCTTGTTCTCACAATAATAGTTAAAAACTATATAATATACAGGGAATATGCTGAAAATTTTAGTCAAATTACCCCACCCTGCGCTGAGATATAAGCGATTGAATTTTAGGCTTATCCTCGATCATCATTAGTAAAGTCGGAACGAAAAAAAAACATAGCCTCGATTATCCATTTTTGGATTTAATCATCAATGCGCGCTGAGCAGCAGATCAGATTCAAATCCACTAAATATCGCAGACTAGCAATGCCATCGAGAGTTGATTATGGTTTGTGTAAGTCAATTCATGTCTAATTAATAATTTAGATAACATTTGAGGCCTAAAGAAAGACCTGGTTAGAGTTAACATAGTCAAGCAGTAAGTCAATCTCGAGCGTAGGCCTAAGACAACAGAAATCGTGACTAAAAGTTGGGTGTGTCATCTTTATGAATTCAAATCTACAACAAACATAGGTTGTCAAGTGTGCATATCATATTTCTATGTAAATATCTATACTGATAATTTTCGTTAATTATGTTTGTATTGTATGCTGTCGTCAATGGGTGGTTTGGTACAGTAAAATCGTATCTTATTTTACTAACAAGAAATGTGAAAGACATTGGTGACATCAACACAACCTAATTAAAATGTGATATACAATAATTAATAGAATTGGTTTGTGTTACCTGTTTCTATTGATTGGAAGTTTCTCACATTAAAATGTGGGCGTATAAAAATGAGTTAGCTATATAGATAGATTTAATTTCAAAGAATGCTTGACTTGGCTTTAAAATTGCAATATTGTACTAATTTTAGTTTAATTTTTAGCTTAAAAAATCGATTATATCTCTGGCTCTTATCTATTGACAACTTTGTTTTTGACAGTGGTGCAGAACGGAGGGCCTGACAAGGAAAGTTGTCTAGTCCTTCGGATGAGACGAAAAACCGAGGTCCCGTGTATATATTGGAATGCACGTAAAAGATCCCCTGGCAGTTGGAATTCGATATAAGAGTAGGTGATAGTGCCGCTGCCCGGGCAAAATTTCCCTCATAGCACACTGTATGGCGTATGCCCGTATTCATTAGCCCAGTGTAGGAGCAGAACAGTAGGACGTTAAGCCCCATTTCATTTCATTTCATTTTGACTAAAATCAAAACCATCGTGTTATTTTAACTAACATGTAATTTTATAAAGTAGATTATAAATATATTGATGTGGTTAAACAAGTTATGTTATATCGTATATTTATAAAGGCCTGTGTTATATAAACCATATGTTAATAGTTAATACAGTATATTAATTTTTAGAAACCTGTACACTTTTGATATGTTATAACATAACTTATGTTATTTACGTATAGTATATAGTATATTTAGAAACTTTTATTACTTTTCATGTTTTATAACGTTATATTATGAAATTTATTTTAAAAATGTTAGAGATCTATACACTTTTGATTTATTATGACCAGCCACCTTATAAGTTATAAGAGAGAGAGGGGGGGGGCAACATTCACTCAACACAAACTAGGTCATTTCGGGACTAACACATGGTTCAATTTTATTTCAATAATTCGCTTGCACGTAGGGGTCTTTGGTGCAGCACCATGGGCCTTTCGGTCAGATGTGGAGATCGGGCCACCAAATCCGGTCGCCACATCCTACATATGACCCATGCATCTTTTCTTACTACATATCTTAGTAGTCTTGTTATCATCTAGTATTTTCACTTGTTGTCTTTGCTTCCCCTTCACGTTGTGTGCTTCTTATTGTTTTCTCAGTTAAGACATTTGTCTTACCAAGAATAACAATGCAGCAGTTCGTTTTTACATTTTATATATCATAGCTGCTTACATGTGGTACAATGCATAATAGAACAAGCCAACAGCGAGGCTGGTGTCCCCCACGGAAATCACAAAATAAAAAGATGACACATTTTAATTTATTGCACATTTATTTTTTTCAAAAGTATCAAGCAATCAAACGGATTATCAACTATACACGAACATTCACCTAATGAACATCTACATTTTACCTCAATTAAAATCAGAGTTGTATTGTTCCAAAGTCTTGAGTCTTGACCAATCAAATTGCTTATCTCTTCTAGCCCAAGCAGAAAATTCTTATCTTCGAACTTAGTCAAAATAATGATATAATGGATCTATACTCGGGAGTTTCATCACTCTCACTTAATTATAACAAAAGTTATCGTACCCCAAATCATCAGCCAATCAGATTGCTCATCTCTGCTTACCGTAAGCAGACAATGTTTATCATCGAACTATATCAAGGCATTCACCTAATGAACACCTACACCAAGTTTGAACATTCTACCTCAATTAGAAGGAGAGTTACTGTGTTCCAAAGTCTCGGCCAATCAAATTGCTTATAGCTCTGCTTACCCTGAGCAGAAAGTGCACATTATCGAACTTAGTCAAGGTATTGATGTGATAAAACCATACAACAAGTATCCTCACTCTCACTAAATAAGAACTAAAGTTATCATGCCCCAAAGCATCAACCAATCAAATTGCTTATACCTGCTTACCCTAAGCAGAAAATGCCCATCTTCGAACTTCATCGAAGCATTGACCTAATAAATACCTACACCAAGTTTGAACATTCTACCTCAATTAGAAGGAGAGTTATTGTGTTCCAAAGTCTTGGCCAATCAAATTGCTTATCGCTCTGCTTAGCCTGAGCAGAAAGTGCTCATTATCGAACTTAGTCAAGGTATTGATGTAATGAAACTATACACCAAGTGTCCTCACGGTCACTAGATTGAAACTGCTACAACATATGGTCTAGGAACTCAGATGGTAATCTCTCTGGAATCTAATGAAAATTTGCCTTAAAAGTTTGCCATGATTTCTTTTATAGGACCTATGGACATCACGCACAGACTAGGCTATTCATGACCCTGAACCTGTGCAATTACTGATATGATTCGTTACTTGAGCCAAATTACGCAGTTAGTAAATTTCCAGTCATGTGTTAATACATGATATTCTTATTCTCACAGAACCAGCTAATGTTTACCAAATTATAAATCTTTTTTATATAACAATATGTCATTCATTCACTAACTTGATTTAAGTACATATATGTTAATCTAATAATTTGCCAAATATATTAATTAATACAATATAATGTCATTATTAATTTCAAGAACAAAAATTCTAGCAATATTGCTACATTGGTAGTGGGAGGAAACCGGAAGACCCGGAGAAAATCCACAAGGTTGGACAGGCGACCCTACTGCTTGTCACGTACAACCGGGGAATCGAAACCATGCCAGTGGACTCAATGACAGATCATATGAACAGCGCGCACGTGCTTACAATTTGGCAATCCACCCCACCCCCACTATGTTATAAAGAAGAATAAAATTTAGAAACATTTATATACTTTTCATGTTTTATTTCATATAGTGTATTAAATTTCAGAAACCTATACACTTTTGTTGTGTTTGATTAGCTTTTAAGTTATGTTATAAAGTAGGTTAACTTTTAGAAAAATGTATACTTGTGATATGATATGACTAGCTTTCATAAAATAGATTAACTTTTAGAAACATGTATATGATATGTTTATGACTAGCTTTCATAAAACAGATTAACTTTTAGAAACATGTATACCGTATACTAGCTTTCATAAAGTAGATTAACTTTTAGAAACATGTATATGATATGTTTATGACTAATTTCATAAAGTAGATTAACTTTTAGAAAAATCTATACTTTTGATATGTTATGACTAACTTTCATAAAGTAGATTAACTTTTAGAAACATGTATACTTATGATATGTTATGGCTAGCTTTCATAAAATAGATTAACGTTTAGAAATATGTATAGTTGATATAATTATGTTATGACTAGCTTTCATAAAGTAAATTAACTTTTAGAAACATGTATACTTATATGATATGACTAGATTTTATAAAATTGGTTAACTTTTAGAAACATGTATACTGATGATATTGATATGTTATGACTTGTTTTCATAAAGTAGATTAACTTTTAGAAACATGTATACTTTTGATGTGTTTTCGTAAATAATACGTTGTTTTAAAGGCTTTACCACACACCTCACATTGATAATTATCAGCAGAATGAAGTTGAACATGTTTCTGTTGACAAGTACGAGACGTGAAAGATTTACCACAATGATGACAGGGGTAGGGACGATCACCGGTGTGTTTACGGATGTGAACTTCCAGTTTATCTTTAGAATTGAATGACTGACCACAAATTTCACACTGGAAAGGTTTTTCACCCGTGTGAATTCGCACATGTTTTTGCAAATCAAAATTAGATTTCCTCTTTTGACCACAAATTTTGCATTGATGCACTTTCGACAGGTCCCGTAATCGTTTACTTTTGTTTTTCGGTTTAGATATTCCACCAACGTGAATTTTCATGTGACCACTTAGACTGGATTGAAGAATAAAAGTTTTAGCGCAAAAATCACATGTGTAAGGTTTGGGCTGCAGAAGAGTTCTGTGTATCTTTTCAACATGTTTCCGTAGGCTGTGTTTCTGCAAAAATGACGCCTTGCATCCATCACATTTAAATGGCTTCTCTTTTGAATGAATTCTTAAATGTTGCTGCAATTGAGTAGGAGAGTCGTAGCTTTTAAAACAAATAACACAGCCATGTGATTTGGCATTGGTGTGAAGACGAATATGTTTAGATCGCAAACTACTAGTTTTAAAGGAATGACCACAAACATCACACATGTACGGCGTTTCTCCAGTATGAATTCGCGTGTGTGCTTTAAGTGTTCCTTTACTTCGGAATGAATCCTTACAATGTCTGCACTTAAAGGGCCGTTCTCCTGTATGGCGCAACATATGTCTTTTAAGAAGATAATTGTGCTTCATAACTTTTTGACAAAATGAACATTTGTGAATTTTTTCCATGGAGAATGTGTCTCTAATTATCTTTTGCGATTTTCCTTTCTGGCAAACTTTTCTATTACACTCTAGTCTCTTTATTTCACGACCCTGTAACGATACATAAATATATGATCAGTAGGCATAATATGTTTTTGTTGGCCATAACATTTGCTTCAAGGAAAACAAATGAAATATGGTTTAAGGTCCTACTTTTCTGCACTTATGAAATGAAATGGGGTTTAATGTCCTACTATTCTGCTCCTATACTGGGCTAATGAAGACGGGCATACGCCATACAGTGTGCTATGAGGGAAATTTTGCCCGGACAGCGGCACTATCACCTACTCTTATATCGAATTCCAACTGCTAGGGGATCTTTTACGTGCATTCCAATATATACACAGGATCTCGTTTTTTTGTCTCATCCGAAGGACTAGACAGCTGTCCTTGTCAGGCCCTTCGTTCTGCACCACTGACAAGGGGAAACCACGTCAGAAAATCTGGATGAACTTTCTCGGCCAGTGCAGGGATCGAACACCCGACCTCCAGGCTAGCGAGCCAGCGTCTTAACCACCTAGTCACTGTGGCTCCTTCTGCACTTATGGAAACGGGTATACTATAATATGTCATGCAGTATGCTATGAGGGAAATATAGTACTGACAGCCGCACTACCATACTAAACTTAGGCTGTCTGTCTACAGTTAGCTCCGCTTGAGAACAGACACTATGCTAGCTGGCTGACATTTTATGTCCTAAATCGGCAATTTTAGCCAAAACCACTAAGTATACTTCGACAATTTTGTTAAGTGGCTATTCTGCTTCCATTTAAACAAAGTTGAAAAAGTTTATTTGGTCTTTCTGTGTATGACAGATGGGAAATGGAGTAGAAACGCATTACAAACAGTAATGAAGTAGATGGATCTCTGTGTAGAAAATGAGACACAACAGTCTACTTTTATTTTGAATTCCAACGTCAATGTGTACACGAACCTCTACAACTGAATAGATCAGATGTCCTGCATCACTGACAAAGAAACCCATGGCGGAAATGCCTGTGGAACTTTTCCGGTCAAAACGAGGAGCAAATCGGAGACCTCGTGGTTAGCAAACCAGCGCCTTACTCACTAAGCCACTGCGTCACCTTCAAGGAAAAACGAACTAAGAATCTATGGCCTGTATTAAATGTCAACCTTGGATGTTGCTTTCAGAACTATATTTGAGCAAACAACCCCCCGCCCCCCTTCACCGCTGCAAAAAATGAATTGAATATGAAATGAAATGAAATCAGGTTTAACGTCCTATTGTTCTGCTCCAAACTGGGCTAATGAAGTCGAACATACGCCATACAGTGTGCACTACGGCCTACTCTTACATCAAATTCCAACTGTCAAGGGCATGCCAATCTGTCAAGTGCATGCCAATCTGTACACAGGATCGGTTTTCCGTTCCATCCGAACGACTAGACAGCTGTCCTTGTCAGGCCCTCCGTCCTGCATCACTGACAAGGGGGGACCACAATGGAAAATCTGGATGAACTTACTCGGCCAATGCTGGGATCGAACACTCAACCTCCAGGCTAGCCAATGCATTAAACCACTACCCCTCCCACCTTAGGTGACTACTTCTTTAGTGCACACAACATAAATCTGTAACAGAATACCAAAGTAAAGATGTTAGTCGGAGGATTTTTAATGAGATTGTTCCACCATCCCCTTCCATTAAATAAAATTGAATCTTTTGCTAAAGCACTATTCTCCCAATCATTTTCTGCTGCTGGAAAGAAGATTTTAATAATCTATTCCTAACTTCCATACTTTTTACTCAGTTATCATTCTACTCCACTAACCTCTGGTTCCATCCACAGGGGAGACACCGTCAATTTATCCACCCTTGATACTTCTGCTATTTTTATCGACCAATTGAGTAGGCTAAGGGAAGTAACTCGCATTTTATTGCAACTAGGATTAATGTAGTCAACGAAAACAAGGCTAAGACTAGTACAGGTGTATGTAAACTATTTCTTGATTGGTTCGTAGAATCAAGCTACAATCAAGGGCAGATAATTTGAATTCGCGAAAACCCTGTGGATGGACCCAGAGGTTACTGGAGTAGAACAGAACAATACCACCACGGCTACCAAGAGTGCTCTGTTATATGTTTAATCTTGGTATAGAAACGTTCCCTATTCATACATGTACAAATGGGACTGTATTTTTTATTTTTTTTTATTTTATACAATATGAAATGAACACAATGAAAGTTAATTCAGAATGATGTACAATCTAAGTAACAGATTAGGCAATTATATGTACAAGTAAAACTAACTAAGAAATTAGAAATAAGAATACTTAATCATGCATTAAATTTATTTTGGCCTTAAATCTTATCTAAACTATTAATTAGACATTAATTAACTTATTAAGACCATAAGCAACTCGATTATCAATCTTTACGATAAATTATCCATCACAAAATGTATCCAAATCAACTAAATATTGCAGGCTAACAATGGCATCGAGAGTTGATTATGGTCTGGATATGTTAATTATTAATGTCTAATTAATAATTTAGATAACATTTAAAGGCTAAAGAAAGACCTGCAATAGGCAGATTTAGCTCTTGCATAAAGCATGTTTAAGTTAAATAAATCATCAGCTAATTTTTCTTTTAGATAAAAAAATCATCAGCTAACATTTTTTTAGATAAATAAATCATCAGTTAACATTTTTTTAGATATATAAATCATCATTTTTTTTTTTTTTTTGGTAGATAAATAAATTATCATCTAACTTTATTTTAGATAAATAAATCATAAACTAAAAAAAATTTTCAGCTAAATAAATAAATCATCAGCTAGCTTTTATTTTAGATAAATAAATCATCAGTCAAGGCCTATTTCTTTAAACATGAACTTTTTTAACATGTTTAGTCAAATAAATCATCAAAGAAAAAGCTTTCCCACAAAGATCACATTGATATTGTTTATCTGTTGAATGAGTTTTCCTGTGTCTCTGTAAATACATAGAAGATGTGAACGACTTATCACATTCTTCACATCGATATGGCCGTTCACCAGAATGCATTCTCAGGTGTGGTTTAAGCTGCCGAACAAACGTAAACGATTTGTCGCAAATGTCACATTTGAAAGGTTTCACTCCATTATGAATACGTAGATGCTCGTTTAAAGCCACCATGCTATATTTTTTCTGATCGCAATAATCACACTGATACATTAATCGACTTGTGTCCGTGCGTTCATCGTAAACGCGAATCGCTTTAGGCACAAAATCATACGGAGCAGGGTTGATTCCAGTGTGAGATTCAATATGGAGATTCAAATTACATACTCGAGCATAGCTTTTGCCGCAAATGTGACAACTATGAGGTTTTTCCGTGTGTAATTTCACAACATGTCGAGCCAGACTAGCTTTTGTTGAAAATGTTTCTTCACAAGAATCGCATTTAAAGCTGTCTAGGCTCGTATGCGTTTTGACATGATTATCCAGTTTATCAACTGACATGAAACTTCTATAACAATATGAGCAGACGTGAGGTTTGGGGTTGACATGTAAACGTTTATGCACACGTCTTGTCGTGCTCGATATAAATGATAGATCACAAACATCACATTTATAGCGTTTTTCTCGTGTATGAATACGTATATGTTCCGTTAAAGTTCCCTGACTTCTGAAACGTTTGCTACAGTATTTACATTTAAAGGGTTTTTCACCTGTATGTAGCCACCTGTGCTCGTTAAGCAGGTAAGCATGCTTCAGTATTTTTTGACAAATGTCACATTTATGTATCTTTTTCTGTTTTATTTCTCGGTTGTCGATTTCGAACGTATTTTCATCATTTCCTCCTTCATAGTCAATAGAAACCTATAATTAAGAAAGACATGAAATGAAATGAAATGGGGTTTAACGTCCTACTCTTCTGCACCTAACCTGGGCTAATTGAAGACGGGCATACGCCATACAGTGTGCTATGAGGGAAATTTTGCCCGGGCAGCGGCGCTACGGCCTACTCTTATATCGAATTCCAACTGCCAAGGGATCTTTTACGTGCACGCCAATGTGTACACGGGGCCTCGGTTTTTCGTCCCATCCGAACGACTAGGCAGCTGTCCTTGTCAGGCCCTCCGTTCTGCATCACTGACAAGGGGAAACCACGCCGGAAAATCGAGATGAACTTTCTCGGCCAATGCAGGGATCGAACACCCGACCTCCAGGCTTGCGAGCCAGCGCCTTACCCACTTAGCCACATGATCCCCCAATTTAAGAAAGAGGTCATTATGAGTATCAGAGAGAGAGAGAGAGAAATGGGGTTTAACAACCACTTGACACAAACTAGATCATTTCGGGACTAACATATGGTTCAATTTTATTTCAATAATTCGCTTGCGCGTAGGGGTCAGATGGTTTTAACATTAATTCCATAGTGAGTTCTTTTTAATATTTTTGATGCAGATAACACAGCAAGCGAGTTGCGTTAACATTTAATTATGTCCTGGCCACAGTAAAACTATATATATTATGTTGTATATTCAGGGGGCCACGGTGGCTAAGTGAGTAAGATGCTGGCTCACTACTCTGAAGGTCGCAGGTTGACTACCAGTGTTGGCTGAGAAAGTTCAGCAGGATTTTCCAACGTGGTGCTGACAACGACAGCTGTCTAGTCGTTCAGATGGAACCAAAAAAAACACGGTATCCCGTGTACACATTGGTGTGCATGTAAAAGATTCCTTGGTAGTTTGAATTCGATATAAGAGTAGGCCATGGCGCCGCTGTGCGAGCAAAATTTCCCTGTATGGCGTATGTCAGTCTTCATTAGCCCAGTCGAATCAGGATGTTAAACCACATTTCATTTCATTCCATATATTCAGTTCGTCTGCATGTAAATTGACAATATATCTGCTGAATATTTTGATCTTTTCCTGTCCCACACAATATTGTGACATATGGCATCCATTATTTTCTAGCCACATATAAATATGAACATACACATAAAATTTGTGGATCTATGCAATTTATAGCTAGATTTGTTTTGTATACAGCCTAAATTTACATCACTTTAAATTGATTAAATCAATCAATGAAATGGATAGTTGGAAGTTATAATATTAATATCCTGAGAAAAGGTTAAAGAAGATTTAAAATAAACTAGCAACAAACAAAGAGGCAACTTTTATTTCTCAGTAAAATTTTATGATACATATTATGACGATATTATTATTATTACAAATTGAACAATATTAGCCAAAATTCAGCGATAGTTATGATTTTTTAGATGCATCAGAGAAAGTAACGCTGTTTACACAAGATTAAATGATACCATGGACAGCAAGAAAATAAACAACAAACTTATAAAACCAATCTGTGGATGTTGAATTGCCCTTTAAACAAATAAGGTGTCTAATCTCAGGTATATCATCTATCATCTAAGAGAATAATCTTTCTTCTCACAGGGAGGGGGGGGGCACCGTGGCTACGTGGGTAAGATACTGACTGGCTAGCCTGGAGGTCGGGTGTTCAATCCCTGCATTGGCCAAGAAAGTTCATCCAGATTTTCCAGCATGGTTCCCCCTTGTCAGTAATGCAGGACGGAGACTCGCTAGCCTGGAGGTCGGGTGTTCGATCCCTGCATTGGCCGAGAAAGTTATCCAGATTTTCTGGTGTGGTTCCGCCTTGTCAGTGATGCAGGACGGAGGACCTGACAAGGACAGTTGTCTAGTCGTTCGGATGGGATGAAAATCCGAGGACCTGTGTACACATCGACACACATGTTGAAGATCCCTTGACAAATGGAACTCGATATAAGATTAGGCCGTAGTGCCGCTGTCCGGGCAAAATTTCCCTCATAGAACACTGTATGCCATATACCCGTCTTCATTAGCCCAGTTAGTAGCAGAATAGTAGGACATTAAACCCCATTTCATTTTCTTCTCTTTTAAAATGATGAAGAATACTATCTAAAAAGTTAATAAAATAATATTTACCTCATCATCAATATTAGCTTCACATTTATCCATAACAGAAGTTGAAGCAATTTTATCAACATTTATACTACCAGTTACATCATCTGTTTCACTGGCCTGCTCTTCTGAAATAAAGATATTCAGTTTATCAGTTCATTTCATTGTTACATCTATTCAAGTTTCATTAAAGACCCAGAAAAAATCCACTAGGTTATCACATACAAGCTACTCATTTCCTACACTTTTCAAGAGAAAAGTTCTGGTTCAGTAATCAGATCAGGGGTTTTCCAGTATGGTTTCTCCTTGCGAGTGATGCCGGACAGAGGGCCTAGCAAGGAAGAGCATCCAGTCATTTGGATAGGACAAAAAACAAGGTCATGTGCATACATTGGCATGCACATAACAGAACCTCTGGTAGTTGCAATTCAATTGCTGTCCTGGCAAAAATTCACTTATAGTACACTGTATGGCATATGCACGTCTCCATTAGCCCAGTTGGTGCAGAAAAGTAAGATGATAAATCCCATTTCATTTTACATTCTTACTATTACATAGTAGTCTGTGTCACTACATGCCAGAGACTGTACAGTGCAGTGGACGCTTACGGCTAGCTCCTGGATCCATTCACTTTATTTGAATTGTGCGTTTGTTTGTGATTTCTGCATAATATGTCTTGTCCTGTTCGTATATTTGTTTTTGTGTAAATTATGTGTGATGCAGTCCCCCTGCATTTACTAATACAGTACAAGGGTTTATAACTTACCTACGACATTGAGATCATTGTTTTCCGATACTGTAATGTTTTGTTGATTTGGGCTGAGTTTGTTATTTAGTTGTTCATCCATAACATAAAGCATAACTGATTCCGAATGATCAGTTGATAATGTTTCTGTAATAGTGTCATCCTCAACAAAATCTTCATTCTCACATGCAGATAATTCAGTTTTCTCCATGCTGTCCGTTGCTGTATGTACTGAATCAACTTGTACCTTCTTCGTTTCATTAGCAACATCCTGAAGATACGAGAGGTCATTTAGGGATTACCATAATGAATATCAGAGAGAGAGAGACAGAGAGAGAGAGAGATGGGTTTAACCCCTCCACTGACACAAACTAGGTCATTTTGGGACTAACATATGGTTCAATTTTAATTCAATAATTCTTTTTAGCCATCCCCCCCACCCTTCTGAAGATATGAAGTGGAATAGGATTAAACTCAATGAATATTGTTTATTTCATTTTATGATATATATCAAATTTGATATCAATATAGAAATACAAGGCTCTAATAATTAGCTGTAAAATAGGCTTCTTCATCTCACTAATGTACATGTAAACAACATATATCAATTTAAAAACAACTGGATGATAAATGTAGTCTGTAGAGTGTTCAAAAGAAATTGTGGATGTCGGATGCACGCATGCACAGATGGACAGACTGGGGCGGCGGAAATATTCAACCACATTTTCATGTGGGCATATATAAAAATATGTGAAACGTAAGCCGTTATAAAGAGAAATACTGGTACTTAGATGTAAGTGTTTTCAGAGAGTATTGTGAAGAAGATATCTATTCCTACATTGTACTTGACTACATGAACATCTTGTTGGACAACAGATCATCAGTCTGTCATGTAATATTTTTCACGCTTCAATTCAAGGAATTGGGTAGCCTATTGTCAAGATTTCCATAGTACCAGTAATTATATACAAATTTACAAGGCTTTGGTGTATGACACTGAATTTCAAGTGTTCCTCTGCAGGACTAGCACAACAAGCAGTAATTACAATTTCCACCTACATGAAATACAAGCGCATAAAAGGAGGAAGGGAGAAATGGGGTTTAACGTCCAATCAACACAAACTAGGTAATTTGGGGACTAACATATGGTTCAATTTTTTTATTTCAATAATTTGTTTGTGCCTACGGTGTCTTTAGCAATGGGAGAAGAACAGACGAACTGGAGAAAACCCACGAGGTTGGACAGGCGACCCTACTCCTTATCACGTACAACCAGGGAAATGAGGGAATCGAAACCACGCTGGTTGACTCAATGACAGACCTTATGATGTGACACGCAGGTGTTAAACCACTAGACCACCTAATTTCTAAAACAATCAAACAATCAGGTATGATTACAGGTGGATTTATAACAACAATTTATTCTGGCTTACAAAAACTTCAGTCCAATTTATCTTGTGACATTGGGGGTGCTAGATTGTAAGTTTAGAACAACACGAATTGACAGAATTGCAATCAAGTGATACAGAATTGAGCCGTGTATAAAAGGAACTCACATGATCTGTATGATTTTTGATGAATTTGGCACAAAATTTGTCTAATAATACAGCACGTATTTCTTTCTCTCGAGCTAGACTAAGATACTGTTCACAATTTGCTTCATCTACAAATGTCATTAAAACCTTTTCACATCTGAAATTGAAACAAAATACATGTATACATAGAATCATTTGAAAAATGTTATCAGAATCTGTTGTAAATTTCAAATAAGATTGTCAAAAGTCCACAAATTTTGTGCAGTATGGTTGCTTTAATATAGACAAGAATTTGCTAATACAAACATACAAATATATGTCAACAGCACGGCACAGAGACAGAGAGAGAGAGAGAGAGAGAGAGAGCTTAACATCCAGTCAACACATACAAGGTAATTTTGGAACTAACATATGGTTCAATTTAGCAGTAGCAGGATTGGTGACCCGATTCTCTGACAGGGTACAAACTTATGATCCAAATCATGCCACATGACTCAATGACAGACCTTATGATCTAATGAGCATGAGTAAGACCACTGAACCACTCTACTTAACAGATTTACAGCAGTAGAAGGATATTTAGTTTACAATTAAAATAAATTAATTTTGAATAGTTTTACAACCGTTTGATTATGCAGTCATAAGGTGAACTTGTAGTTGTACCTGTTTGATAAGGACTGAAGATTGTATCTTTGAGAGGCTCCAAGCAGGTCAATAATAAAGGTGTCATCAACATCAGTATCAAATTCATCTGTATAAACCCATCTAATCATAACATAGGCCACTTCGTACTTTATATCTGTCAAAAACAATATTACACAATCTTTCTTGTTGGCGTGCACGTAATAGATCCCTTGACAGTTGGAATTCAATATAAGAGTAGGCCGTAGTGCCGCTGTTCGGGCAAAATTTCCCTCATAGCACACTGTATGGCATATGGCCGTCTTCATTAGCCTGGTTCGGAGCAAAACAGTAGGACATTAAACCCCATTTCATTTCATGTCATTTACTGTAACTCAATTATCAATAATATTGAATATTAGGCACTTAAAGCCACAGATATTTCAGAATTTTTCACAGTTTAAACCAGCATTAGGTAAGATTAGATAGAGCTGACAGTTCTTGCTATAATGGTTAAATAATAGATAATGAAAAGAGAATATGCTGAAAATTTCAGTCAAATTACTTGACTCTGCGCCTAGATATCGTCGATACAATTATAGCCTAGCCTTGATTGTCATTACTACCATTGCTATGATAATAATATCCATTTTTATGGTAACAGCATTGACCACAAAACGTATTTAAATCTACTTATATAGCAGACATCCGATGACATCGAGAGTTGATTATGGTCTGGATAAGTTAATAAATGTCTAATCAATAATTTATGTAATATATCAGGCCTAAAGAAAGACCTGCAATAGGCAGATTTAGCTCTTTATTAATTAGACATTAATCAACTTATCCAGACCATAATGAACTCTTGATGCCATCGCTAACCTGTGACATTTAGCGGATTGGAATACATTTTGTGAAGGATAATTAAACGTAAAGGTCGATATCGAGACTTTGTTTTATATCGTACCGACTTTAGTAATGATGATCGAGACTAGCCTAAAATTCAAAAGCTAAAATCTTGGTTCAGAGTGGAGCAATTTAACTGAAATTATCTACTTTTTAACTATTATAGCAGAACTGACAACTCTTTATCTAATCTCCCATAATGTATCTTTAATTAAAATATGCATTTCAATTCAGGTCGTGCAAAACTAAGAAACAAAATGTAAAAAACACTGTCCAATAATTATAATGCGGAACTAAAGGGGAGCCACTGGGCTAAGTGGGTTAGACGATGGCTTGCGAGTTTGGAGGTCATGTGTTCGACCCCTGCATTGGCCAAGAAAGTTCATCAGAATTTTCCGGCATGGTTTCCCCTTGTCAGTGGTGCAGAATGCAGGGTCTGACAAGGACAGCTGTCTAGTGGTTCAGATGGGACGAAAAACCAATGACCTGTGTATACATTGCCGTGCACGTAAAAAGATCCCTTGGCAGTTGGAATTCGATATAAGAGTAGGCGATAGTGCCGCTGCCCAGACAAAATGTCCCTCATAGCACACGGTTTGGCTTACGCCTGTCTACATTAACCCAGTCGGAGCAGAACAGTAGATGTTAAACCCCATTTCATTTCATTTTCTGAACAAAAGAGCTGTACCAAAGCGTTTGACATAGAAATTTGAAAGTAGAGTAAGCAAAGTATCTTATTACCACTTAAATCAAGTTCCTCTACACAAATATCATCTATGCCTACACCCCATTTATCACTTCTGGCAAAAAAAATAAATTTGTGACAATTCAGATGGTATCCACCTTCCAGTAATACTCTTAAATCACTGGAAAATAAAATACAAAAAAAGCGTTAATGGTTATTTTGTATTATTTTCTTTCACATATCATTTTATACATTTACATGTAACAACTACATCAAATTTTAGATTTTGCATACCCAAATTGGAATCAAAATTTTTATATAATTTTCATTAGGATTCTTGAATTTCAGTTATTTACAATCTTAAAAGTGAATCAATGTGTGTATTAACATTATATACCCCACATGTTAGAAGTTGTTTCTATGTGGAACAACACAATATTTTAAGCTAAAAAGTGTACAATTAATATAATAATAATTAATTTATGTAGCGCTGACATTTCAACTCAGTGAGCTGCTCTCAGACGCTTAACATAAGTACAATTTTAAAATTAAATAAAATTATGACAATACTGTATATTTTTATGGCAACAAATGGTCATAGACAGGAATAAAGATAAAAAATATTTCATAGATGATATATCAATATCAATTTAATAAGATCTATACCTACACCCTACGTATACATGTATATATATGATAATGCTGGCACGATATAAGATCTATACCTACACCCTACGTATACATGTTTATGATAGTGCTGGTACAATATATCACTGAATCGATGTATCGTGATTCACCCTCTTATGATTCGTGTATTGAATTGCTAGATGTCGAATCGATGTATCGCGATTTTTTTTTATGTCGCTTCAGTAAGCAGTAAGTAACCTGTCCCACATTATCCATAGGAACACAAACACTCATAAATTGTTTTGGTCCTCATTTTGATCCACATCAATATCGTAATATAAAACAGTTTTATTTCTTTGACATCGGCAGGACTAAAAATATCAATTATTCATTTATCCTGTTGTTTTCTTGGTAAACACTGACCTGGTTATGAATCGTGGTACAAATCGTATCGTAACACCTGAATCGCAATATGTATCGTATAGTGACTGCAGTGGCAATACCCAGCACTAGTATGTGAAATGACAGTTAACATATTTCTCGTCAGAAATATAGATATAAGGGTTATTACATGTATACAATCTGATTGAAATAAAGATCAATATTTCGTTTCGTTTTTTTATACTTTTGATGCCTACACTACATTAAGATCTGGTCGGTTGTAGCAATAGATCGTGTCAGAGGTCATACGAGCGGCTTTTGACCCTATGACGTCAGACATTTGATTAACCAATCAGCATGGATGTTTCTAGTGGATTTCCAACAGTTCTGTGCACCACATGCCCAAAGCTTGCCGTAACAGACCGTTTCATTGACTAATCCCTCACATCATCCAGAACACGTCAATGATAACTTTTCCAGATCCTAGTGTAGTAAAGACAATTAAAATGAAATTTTGAACTATAAAAAACGAAACGAAATAGGATCTGTGTTTTAATCAGATTGTATACATGTATATATATAATGCATGATTACCTGTATTGAAGATTGTTAAAGAGATTTCCTACTGTCTTTAGAAGCCTGGTAATAAAATCATTCTTTCCTTTTTCGCATGCTGCTAGAGCTTGTCTATATTTTGTTTCAAGACAAGCCAACTGATTTTCTAATCGTAAATATTGTTCTCTCAGCATTCTGATATACACATCTATGGTTCATACCTGAAAGATCACTAAAATATTTGATCTCAAATTATTAATCACTGTACATCATGCATGGATATAGCTGGCTTGTTTATCCAAATTCACTTGCAGTTGTGCAGACATTTTCACGGCAACATAACGACGATATGGATTGAAATGGACCAATATTGAATTCTAATTTGTGTATTTAATTTCGATTATTAAGGAAAATTTAAAGGAGCTAAATCGCTAATATTTGGGACCTTTGAAATTGACACAATAATGGAATATGAATGTATATAAACTGATTTACATTTAATCGTTCTTTATTGCAATTTCTAATCAGTTATGTTTGGCGAAATACGCCAGAAGTCTCAATCAAATGGCAATCTATAGCGTCTAGTTATTCCAGTTTACACTGATAGTATTTATTGCGCATGCTCTCCAGATAAGAATATGCCGTCACCGTTTGACATGACTTGTGGAATATGTCTTGCCTTGTTCTTCAAGTCCCTTGTTACAAATGGCGCTGAAACGCATTATGGTACACGATTCAAGTGCCAATGGTACAAAGTTTATTTTGTCTTAAATATTGGATATCAGAAGCCCATCTTTTCCTGGTAAGATCACAACATCAATGTTGATTTAAATTGACAAATAATTCGTCTTTTCAATGTCGAAGACTTTGGATGATATTCATATTGAGTTAGAGACTTGGCTACTTTAAGTCTTGTTATATATATAAATATTGTGGTATGATTGTCGATATATATGGAGATATTTATTCATGGTGGGGCACGTCCTACCCATTGCTCATGCAGCGAACAGCAACTTGAACAAGGGTGTGAAGCATTTAAGATGCCCGTTTATTTGTTAAATTCTGAACTGAAATTGCTCTTACATTTCACCCAGGCCTAAACCTACATCTAGACTTACAGATGAGTAGTACCTAGCAGCTCATGCAGATGGCGTGACAAGATACGACAATTTAAACATATTAATACAAAAATCATGACAAATTGTATAATTTTTCATTTCATGTTATCCACCATTTTGATATCACGTGACACATATATTAATCCGATTATAAACCAGACTTGGATCAAACCAGAACGTCTGTCACTTTCAACTTGAATAATTAATGAGGTAGAATGGAAGAATGCTAAATTGTATCAGTTTCTATAATATTTTAGACTGATATCTCTGTTCTTGTTATTCAGTCCTTTCGGGCTGAAATCACTGATCTGTAACCAGACATGACACAGACACCAAATTAGAAAGAAATCCGTTAAAAACTATAGCCACTATCGCTCTCACAAGTTTTTTTGACAAAGGTGAGGACGGGCATACGCCATACAGTGCGCTATGAGGGAAATTTTGCCCGGGCTGTCACTGGTTGTTTTACGTGCAGGCCAACATCTACACGGTATCTTATTTCTCGTCCCACCCGAATAACTACACGCCGTACTCCCGTTCAAGGTCGTCCGTCGTACACCACTGACAAGGAGAAGCAACTTCTCGTAAGTGAGCAAGAGGTTTACTCAGTGAGCCATCATGGTTAGATCTATTTACCAAGACCGCCTGCAGGCTCCCTCAAGGTCACGAGATGTAAACAGGGCTAGCGCGAACTCTAACCATAAAGCCCTAAGCTTTACCCTAGCCCTAACCCACAATCCTCGGCAACAATCACGCGCCTTAACCCCGTTTCACCGCAGTTCCATGCCCCTTTAACTCAATATGCATAAGGGCCTAACAATGATAAAATTATCTTTCTGATAATACACTACATGAGCATACAAACAATAAAACAATAACTCAAGTTTATCAAGGTCATTTTAGTCATTTTTATATATGAAATGTGAATCTGCCACATGACCTCCCTAACACAAAAAAACCCAGTGACAATGCATAGTTGCCTCGTCACGAGGCTCGTGCACGAAACATGTCACGAATATGGGGTGAATATAGAGACAAGCATGTATCCCACGATAATTAAGAGTGCATAATAATCTTGTGTTTTGAAAGCTAATATACATTTAACTGGGCGTATTTGTTTTATTTATTCATGTAAATAGGCATATGTTAGCGAAAGCCCGACTCACACAGGGCGTTACCCCGGCGCAGGATAGTGACGCCAAGCAACGCCCCGTCAAGTGATCACACAGTACTTCCGCCGTGTGACGTCTGTGGGCCACCCTCCCATTGCGCATATGCGTTTTCCGTAGGGCTACGTCGTCCAACTATAGTGAGAGAGAGATGGGGTTTAACGCCCACTCGACACAAACTAGGTCATTTCGAGACTAAGACACGAAGAGTCCAGGGGAAGAGCGATCTAAGTCACATTTAATTACAACTTCAAAATGATGTTTAATACGAATCATAATTACCAGTACAACACAACTGACTTCCACTTTCAGCCAAATTAAGGTCAAATAAAGGGTACGATGGACGTATTTGTCCGGGAGGCCATTTCAGAAAGGCCTTTGTTCTATGTGACTCCGATCGTTTTTACCTGAAATTGATTGTTCCACAGAAAGCTTATACAATTTGCTACCAGATGGCACCATTAACTGGGATTCATTGGTTCAATTTTATTTCAATAATTCGCTTGCGCGTAGGGGTCTTTAGCAGTGGGAGGAAACCGGAGGACCAGGAGAAAAACCACGAGGTTGAACAGGCGACCCTAGGCCTACTCCTTGTCACGTACAACCGGGAAATCGAAATCACGCCATTTGACTCAATGACAGACCTTATGATGCAGCGCGCACGTGCTAACCATTTGGCCATCCAACCCCCAACTCCACCTGAACATTAGACAGATGACATCACCCAAACAAGGTCTAGTTTGTGGAATAAACTTTTCAAACTGGAACCAGCTATTTGAATATAGTTATTTGAATATTGAATTTTCAACGTGGGCGTATTATATCGTCACCTGTCCGTCAACAAGTGAATTGTGAACGCAATAGAGTTAAAAGTTTTTGACGAATTCTTGTGTTAAGCATCGTGGTAATTGCAGCAAGAGTTATGCCACCTTTTCCAAAAATCCTATCAACGCAATAGAGGCTATATTTTTTTAACAGATTGTTTTCAAATCTGGTGATGAGTATTGGAGTCATGAGAGGATAAACCCTATTGATATTCAACTTTCTACGACTTTCTGTCCTGGGGTTATCCCATCTTTGCCAAAAACCTTGTGAACTCGATAGTGGCTATAGATTGTAACAGATTTCTTTTTAATTTGGCGTCTGTGTCATGAAAGGATGAATCTCATCGTTCCGCGACTTTCACCCCCTTTGCCGAAAACCTTGTGAAAGGCTACAGTTTGTAACTGATTTTTTAACAGACTTTCCCAAGATTATTATAGTGACGCAGACGCAGACGGATTCTGTTCAGATTTGGTATCAATCATCGTGGCCATTGTACCAGAGCTGTCCCCTTTTCCAAAAATCCTATCAACACGATGGAGGCTATAGTTTTTTAATAATCTGCTTTCAAATCTGCTAGATATTCAACTTTCTGCGACTTTCTATTCTGGGGTTATCCCATCTTTGCCAAAAAACCTTTTAAATCTGAGATTAGATTTCTTCAAGAATCATAGTTCTTTATCAAATTTGCTCAAACTCCAAGTTTTCCTATGGGGTCGATGAATCATTTTGAGATTCAAGCAATTCTGAGATGCTCTGGTTATGAAGCAATATACCCAGCGATTTGATCGTGTTCAATAACTCGATGACCAGTTGAATCTCGTTTAAATTCTCACTTATCCGCATGTAACATCGATACTATATCTTGCTTATACACTGTTATTGACGAGTTTTGACTTAGCCAGACATAAGCCTAGCGCATGTTCACCAGTTTTGGGTGTAAAATCTAAGTTTCGGTGTTTTGGCAGCGTGATCTCATGCTGCCGTAAGTGACGCCCAACGCCGGATTAACCACGGGGCACCATGGGGCCCAGGGCCCCCCGACATTAGAGCCCCCCACACACAAAAATCTCAGTTGCGCGCCTCGAGAATGGTCGGACCGAGGACTCCAACGGCCGGTGACCTAGTGACGGGACATCTCCGATGCTCCGAGATGTTTTCTGAGTGGATCGCCGGAATTCAACACTATTTACAGGCGAATTGTCAAATTCTAATGAGAGTACTGCCTTGTACGTGGGTTGAATGTCTGCTCTCATTTTGTTTCAATAGTTTCTTCAAATTATATGTACACAGCCACAACCCATGTGTAACCGTAGCACAGGGAGCCTGTGCTCAGATGTCACGAGTTGTTGTTGTTATTGATATTTGTTGTGGGTATAAGCTGAATTTGATGAGATGCACATCATGATCACACGAAATATTCAGTTTCTTGATTAAATCTCGTATTACCATTTGGTACTTACAGTGTTAGACGTTCGTCAAAAATCGAGTCCGGCTTGGTCGTAACGTTACGGCCTCCATTCATCAAATCATCGTGGGGGATATAATACGATTCCGAATCAAGTGACCCCGTTATTTATCACTGAGCGACTTCAAAATTAGGTTTGATGTAGCTCTGCTCACTTAAAGTGGCGGATTTAACGGGCTCAATGGGCTCCAGCCCCCTCCTCTAGAAATGCCATCATTTCATAGCACTCGCATGGATTGGTCCACTGAAATAACGCCAGAATGCGCTAATTTTGTGGCAGATTTTTTTTTTTTTTTGGGGGGGGGGGGGAGGTACTTCTAAATGGCTCCGGCACAAGTGCCTGAAATGCCAGGAAATCACGTTTGCGGCCTCCAATTTCTGAAAATTTCCTGGGGGGAGACCCCCCACCCAGACACCCCTTGCGGAGCCCCAGGCCCCCACCATGATTAATCCGGCGTTGGTGACGCCACATTAACCATGTCCAATTCTCCAAGCCCGGGTGAGCACCGCCCCCCCCCCCCCTTACCGGGACGATGAGTAGTCGGTAGCAAAAGCGAACGACCCATCCAGAATCCTTACAGAATCCTTGCTTACGGCCCATCAGACCTTTGATCAGCCTCATGGAGGAAACCATAGGACCTGCAGAAATCCCAGCCCGGGTGAGCACCGCCCCTCTCCCCCTACCAGGACGATGACTAGTCGGTAGCAAAAGCGAACGACCCACCCAGAATCCTTGCTTACGGCCCATCAGACCTTTGATAAGCCTCTGAACATCTTCAAGGAGGAAACCATAGGAGAGTCGCAGTGGCCCAGTGAGTAAGACGTTGGCTCGCTAACCCGGGCGTGCCGTGTTCTATCCTGGATGTTTCGGCGCGTTCCCCCTCGCCAGTGATGGAGGGCCTGGCAAGGGACAACGTACAGTCGTTCGGATGGGACGAAACACCAAGACCCCGTATGCACAATGGCGTGACCATAATAGAATCCCTGACAGATGGAATACTATATAAAAGTAGGCCGTAGTGCCGAGACACATTTCCCTCATAGCACACTATATGGAGTATATATGCACGTCTATATTAGCCCAGTCAGAACAGAACAGTAGAACGTTAAAACACCAAACAAAAACAAAGTGCTTATCACTAAAAATTAATGGAGCATCATTAAAAATGTATCTGAAGCAGTGTTATTAGGACTAACTGTTGACCAAAATTTAGATTGGAATCTCCAAATAAACAAAATTTCCAAAATCATATCCTCCAAAATCTACCTCCTGACAAAGTTAAAACCTTATTTACCACACCATCTTAGAATTTTATTTTTCAACGGCTATATTTTACCATACTTAGATAACTGTTCCACAGTTTGGGGTAATGCCAATAAAGGTAAACTAGAGGTCCTGTATAAACCTCAAAAGCGTGCGGCAAGGAGTATTTTGGATGAAAAACCTGATTCACATTCGGCACCTTTGTTTGAGTCTCTAAATTGGCTTATAATCTATCAACGCATTCAATACAACCAAGAATGCTCGTCTTCAAAATTCTAAGAGACAAATTACCATCATATTTATATAACACATTCTGTGAAAATTCTAAATTGACCGAAACTACCATGACATTGAGATCAGAAAGTCAACTTAAATTAGCAATTCCAAAAAGTAAGAAA